TCTTCTTTCAACAAACCGGCCGTATCCCACCGAGGTGGGGTGGCCCAAAAGGAAAAACTAAAGTTTCTCCTTTTACATTTAGCAATATATACAGGAGAAGGGGTTACTAGCCCCTTGCTCCCAGCATTATAGTCACCTCTTATGACACACATGGCTTATGGAGGAAGAATTCTGTTCCACTTCTCCATGGAGATAAGAGAAAATAAACAAGAACAAGAACTAGAAAGAATATAGAAGAAAACCCAGAGGGGTATGTATGTATGTATATATATATATGCTTGTACATGTATGTGTAGTGTGACCTAAGTGTAAGTAGGAGTAGCAAAACGTACCTGAAATCTTGCATGTTTATTAGACAGAAAAAAGGACACCAGCAATCCTACCATCATGTAAAACAATTACAGGCTTTCGTTTTACACTCACTTGGCAGGACGGTAGTACCTCTCTGGGTGGTTGCTGTCTACCAACCTACTACCTAGGATGGGAAATTTTTTCCCAGTAAAGGTAGGCCTTAGACAAGGATGTGTGATGTCACCGTGGTTGTTTAATATATTTATAGATGGGGTTGTAAGAGAAGTAAATGCGAGGGTCTTGGCAAGAGGCGTGGAGTTAAAAGATAAAGAATCACACACAAAATGGGAGTTGTCACAGCTGCTCTTTGCTGATGACACTGTGCCTTGGGAGATTCTGAAGAGAAGTTGCAGAGATTGGTGGATGAATTTGGTAGGGTGTGCAAAAGAAGAAAATTAAAGGTGAATACAGGAAAGAGTAAGATTATGAGGATAACAAAAAGATTAGGTGATGAAAGATTGAATATCAGATTGGAGGGAGAGAGTAGGAGGAGGTGAACGTATTCAGATATTTGGGAGTGGACGTGTCAGCGGATGGGTCTATGAAAGATGAGGTGAATCATAGAATTGATGAGGGAAAAAGAGTGAGTGGTGCACTTAGGAGTCTGTGGAGACAAAGAACTTTGTCCTTGGAGGCAAGAGGGGAATGTATGAGAGTATAGTTTTACCAACGCTCTTATATGGGTGTGAAGCGTGGGTGATGAATGTTGCAGCGAGGAGAAGGCTGGAGGCAGTGGAGATGTCATGTCTGAGGGCAATGTGTGGTGTGAATATAATGCAGAGAATTCGTAGTTTGGAAGTTAGGAGGAGGTGCGGGATTACCAAAACTGTTTGTCCAGAGGGCTGAGGAAGGGTTGTTGAGGTGGTTCGGACATGTAGAGAGAATGGAGCGAAACAGAATGACTTCAAGAGTGTATCAGTCTGTAGTGGAAGGAAGGCGGGGTAGGGGTCGGCCTAGGAAGGGTTGGAGGGAGGGGTAAAGGAGGTTTTGTGTGCGAGGGGCTTGGACTTCCAGCAGGCATGCGTGAGCGTGTTTGATAGGAGTGAATGGAGACAAATGGTTTTTAATACTTGACGTGTTGTTGGAGTGTGAGCAAAGTAACATTTATGAAGGGATTCAGGGAAACCGGCAGGCCGGACTTGAGTCCTGGAGATGGGAAGTACAGTGCCTGCACTCTGAAGGAGGGGTGTTAATGTTGCAGTTTAAAAACTGTAGTGTAAAGCACCCTTCTGGCAAGACAGTGATGGAGTGAAATGATGGTGAAAGTTTTTCTTTTTCGGGCCACCCTGCCTTGGTGGGAATCGGCCAGTGTGATAATAAATAAAAAAAATATATTAATATATATATATATATAATATATATATATATATATATATATATATATATATATATATAATATATATATATATAATATATATATTATATATATATATATATATATATATATATATCCCTTTGACTGTCGAAACCTCTAATCCTGAATTGTCTCCTGGTGTCGAAAAATATTCAAAAAAAAAAAATTATTTTATGAAAATGTTAAGATTATTTTTCTGATTGTTTTAGTCCCCCCAAAAAATTTTTTTACCATCAGTACTGACCGAGATATAGAGGCATGAAGTTGGCAGAAAATGAGCCGCGTATGGCAACAGCCGCGACTGCTGCTCACCCAGTAAACTTTGGTTTACTTGTATTGGAAGGTTTCTTGTTTTTTTCACTATTTTATTTTTTCACATAACTTATGTGGCCTGTGAGACCAAAGTATGGTGCAATGTACATATATACACTTGTTGTATACAATACAATAAGCACACAAACATAATTATCAATATATGTTTACAAAACTTGTTTACACAAACAATACAAAAAACTGTTTATTATTATTGTTCTATAATATATATACAAATGTACAGTCACTGGACATGTTATTAGAAGTTCTGCAGCTTGTGGAACTCTTTGAAACATGGTGTCATGCACAATGATGTTTTACACTTCTCACACACAAAAAGAGTGTCTCTGAGTTTTTGTGGGCATTTTTTTTGTATGTGCATAGACAAAACACCTTGTCTGAGCAGTTTTCTTCATAGTAGTAGTAGACAGTTGTGTTAAGTAGTTATCCTAGGTAAATGTGTCATCATTCCTACCTACATTCCTTTGTCTTCATTCTTTCATTCCTTCTGGTTTCTATAATATATATACACATATATGTTCATCAAGAACTGCAAGTAGCCCCTATCACATGATTTTACCATCCTATGGAGAGGGAGCATGGACATGGGGGTCATTCCACAGTTACTAAAAACAAGAGACATAGCCCCACTCAACAAAGGGGGCAGTAAAGCAATAGTAAAGAACTACAGACAAATAGCACTAACATCCCATATCATAAAAATCTTTGAAAGGGTCCTAAGAAGCAAGATCGCCACCCATCTAGATACCCATCAATTATACAACCCAGGGCAACATGGGTTTAGAGCAGGTCACTCCTGTCTGTCCCAACTACTGGATCACTACGACAAGGTCCTAGATACACTAGAAGACAAAAAGAATGCAGATGTAATATATACAGACTTTGCAAAAGCCTTCGACAAGTATGACCATGGTGTAATAGCGCACAAAATGCATGCTAAAGGAATAAGAGAAAAAGTTGGTAGATGGATCTATAATTTCCTCACAAACAGAACACAAAGAGTACTAGTCAACAGAGTAAAGTCTGAGGAGGCTACGGTGAAAAACTCTGTTCCACAAGGTACAATACTCGCTCCCATCTTGTTTCTCATCCTCATATCTGACATAGACAAGGATGTCAGCCACAGCACCGTGTCTTCCTTTGCAGATGACACCCGAATCTGCATGACAGTGTCTTCCATTGCAGACACTGCAAGGCTCCAGGTGGACATCAACCAAATCTTTCAATGGGCCGCAGAAAAGAAGATGAAGTTCAACGATGAGAAATTTCAATTACTCCATTATGGTAAGCATGAGGAAATTAAAACTTCATCAGAGCACAAAATAAATTCCTGCCATAAAATAGAGTGAAAAACCAACATCAAACACCTGGGAGTGATCATGTCGGAGAATCTCACCTTCAAGGACCATAACATTGTATCAATTGCATCTGCTAGAAAAATGACAGTATGCATAATGAGAACCTTCAAAACTAGGGATGCCAAGCCCATGATGGCACTCTTCAGGTTGTTTGTTCTATCTACGCTGGAATATTGCTGCACAATAACAGCACCTTTAAAGGCAGGTGAAAATGCTGACCTAGAAAATGTACAGAGAACCTTCACAGTGCACATAACAGAGATAAAACACCTCAATTACTGGGAGTGCTTGAAGTTCCTGAACCTGTACTCCCTGGAATGCAGGCGGGAGAGATACATGATTATATACACCTGGAAAATCCTAGAGACTAGTATCGAACTTGCACACGAAAATCACTCACAATGAAAGCAAAAGACTCAGACGATGCAACATCCCCCCAATGAAAAGTAGGGGTGTTGCTACTCCACAGCTGCCAAAATGACATATTGTCTCATTACTCATTCCCCCTACCACCTATCAAAACAATGGGGTCAGATGCTGCTTCCCCTCCATCCTACTATCTAATTATTTTTATTCTCCCTCATTCTCTCATTCTTCTTCATTCTCCTTCATTCTCATTCATTCTTCATTCTCCTTCATTTTTCTGGTATCCGGGGCAGTGCTTTTGGTCACAAACTCCTCAAAACCATGAAATTGATCTTCACAGACACTTCCATCTGTGTTAGAGCATCACTTGGGAAGAGAAGAGTCCCAGATTCGTGGAGGAGTCAGATATTTCTTATAGCTAGGCATGATGAACGAGGACTACTGAAATGGCATTCCCAAAATGCACCACTGGCTCCCCAATTTTTTTTATATGGTGCACACTGACCATGGAGACCCATTCTCTCACATGTGGGCCTACCAGCTTTCTCCTGCTTGATTTGAAGCCGCTAGAATTTTTGAGTATATATATGTCAAACACGATGGCTGAAACAGTCAAGGGGATATTCACACACACACACACACACATTATGGAATATTATGTGTGAGTGGGGTGGCCTGGTATGGTAGCCTGGCTGGCTACCATACATACCACACTTGATTTCCAACAATAAATACACTACTCATCTCACCCAAGACTACAAATATTTTAAGGTAAGTAATGAGTGTATTATATGTGTATTTTACTTTTTTATTGTTTTTAATGCCTAGTTCTATTGCTTACTTAATTTATGTTAGTGTAAACTTGTTATCTAGTACTATTTCTATGCATTTGTAAGTGAAAAAAAAAGGGTGTTCCACTTTACGGTGATTTCCGCTTTACGATAGCCTGGAACCTAACATGCCGTATAAGTAGGGCCCTACTGTATATATATTTATAAGTGACAAAATGAATAAAGTTATCATGAGAATCCTTTTCAATATAGATAAAAAAAAACTGAGCTACATGAGTTATTATGAAATTTATAGAAGTTCTATTACTATTAGATATAACAGAGTTAAATTTAATAAGATTAACTAAATATCTTGAATGTTTTTGAAAATGATATTAACAATCAGTTATTAATATTCTGCTTTAACTTAAAAATGTTGACCAGAATAAGTAAATCTTTGGCACTTACTTGATGACACATGTACATGATCCAACATGATGATCCTCCATCACATCTACAAGCTTCAGCAAAGTCATGTTCAGCCTGTTTAAGATGTCTCATAGCTTCAGGATAATCAGGTGTCTTTTCATAAGACATTTGGCTTTCAACTGAGTCAGAGGAACCTACATGCTGTCTCGTTGGGGGCTGGAATATATTGCTGTAGAAGCCACTAAGAGTATATCCTGATGTTTTTACATCTTTATCATCTGATATATCTTCTCCATTCTCCAGCCGATTTAACAGATGTTGTATATATTGTATCACACGAGTACTGAGCTCAACTCTATGACTGTTCTTATCTGGATGCCACTTGAGAATCAACCGCCTCAAGAGGTGGCGTCTTTCTTTTTTGTCTTCTACTTTCCATATTTCTCCCATTTGTTTTCTTATAATTATCATAATTTCATCCTTAAAGACACTATCAAATGCATCATCAGTTACTTGATCAGTTAGGGCAATATCCTTGCAATCCTTTGTTGTAGCTCTTACAAACTTGTACAGCTGATGGGCTCGAACTATAATGCAAAACTCAGCTTCATTTTCTGTTTTAACTTCATATTCATTCATAAATAAATTATCATGTTTTCTTTTTAAACGCTTCACTTGAACAATGATGTAAATATTCTCTTCTGTATCTTCAACTTCTCCATTAATATATTTCTTCATGCAAACAATTTCTCCTTCATGGAATTGACAAAATTCATTATCCAACAAATGGATTAGTTGTTCATCAAGATAAGAACCTACCTCAGTACGATAAAATGTATGTGTGAGGTTTGTAATTCCCCATTCTCTAATACCTAACTTATTCAAAAGGAGGTTAATGCCATGTGGGTTTTCATACAGTTCCAGTATGCTTGGTAAATATAACATCATGGATTTTGAATTAAAATTTAGCAAATTTGTATAAGTATCAAGTAGTGCAATTCTAAGGAAAATGCTGTCAATGGCCTCACAAATACAGAGCGTTACTTTTCTTTCTCCTATACTGCTGACACTTACAAAAAACTGTTTAGTTCTTTTCCCTATCTCATTTTCATTAACCTTCAGAATGGTGATAATTTCTTTAAATTGCTTCACATGTACTGTATCAAGACTACTTTTTACTTCCGATTCTTTAGAAGGCAATTCGTTTGATTCCATAAAATCATGATTTATAATTCTCAAGACTGCATTCTTAAAACAATCTGAATTCAAAAACTCTCTAACCTGTTGAAGTAATCTTGATGAAATTTCCTCAGAACCACTATCAAGTTCTTCTTTCACAACATGAGACAGCAACTTAGGCTTCAAATTCTTTGGCAAACAATTTACAAATTCAGCATCATTCATTGATATATCTAGGTCTTTAAATCCTGTAAATGTTGATTCACTAAATTTTCCTTTAATATCAGTTAAATTTTCATCAATGTCTACCAAATACATCTCAGAAGATTTTTCCAGTCTACCTTCATTTGTTGGTAAATATAGCTCAGACACTGTAAGATTTTTAAGCTCCTGAATGTTTTCCAACAATCCTTGAAGAGCCAGCTTCATACATTTTGATTCCTCAGGATGCAATATTTGCTGTTGACTTTTTTCATAAATCATCTTTAAAACCTCTGCATATGTATCACAAGTGGCAACTTCAAGAGTTCCAAGATGCTTAAAAAGGTCAAAGTATTTTCCATATGTAACTGGTGCTTTATAAATATATGGAATAATTTCATATTGTAAATTTTCAATTACTAAATCAGCAGTAGAAAAAGTATTGTGTTTGGGTAAATGCACTATTGGAGTACACTGGTAAGCAAGTATATCATCAGCATTGTCTAGGGAATCTTGTAAATACTGATAAATACTTTCCATTACACATGTTATATCTGACTTTAATTTTTTTCCCTTAAACTTCAAAAAATGGCAGAGTTTATGAATGTGTTCAAAAACTTTTTCTTTTGGGGGAATTTCCAAGATTTTTAAGTCGTTTCTAATTTTATCATTACATGATGTTGCATATTCTGGCAAGAGGCTTGTAGTTGTCCATGAAATGTCAGAATATTTCAATACCACACTATTAGAAAAAGACACCAAACCAGAAGCTGTTCTAAAATGTGGAAAAATCTGTTCCAGTGTTTTACAAATCCCTGGTATTAGAAATTCAATGCTTCTTATCTCAAAAAAATTGCACCTTAATGCTTCATAATTGTCAAAAAGGTGTTCAGTAAGAATTTGAGATTTTCTATTCACCTCAGAATCACTAGATGATAAAGAACTAGCATACTGTATAAACATTTCAGGAGTTAATTCATGTATCATGCCAGCAACTTTGAGAAAGTACTGCCATTCTGTTTTTACCCATTCAGGTGGCAAATTGCACTTCTTCATGACCTTGAATACTGGATTAAAGGGATCATAGAAATGATCTACTGTTACTAATCTTCCATTAAACTCTATAATGGGAGTTATTTTCAATGTTGAAACAGCCTTTTTCTGACTTGGATTCCAGTTGTCTTCACCCTTGTATTGTGTTTCATTTAGTTTATCTCGTAAGAATTTGAGAAAATAGACTCTCTGAGGTTCATATAAATAAGTAAATTTTGGCAAAATTATTGTAGCATAAATTTCCATGTCATCCATATAATCTGCATTCAGGTATTTGTACATATTTGTCATATGTTCTGATGTAGCTGCCTTCAAAATAACAATATTGTCATTATTTCCAATTTTTCCTAACTCTCTACAGGAAAGTTCTGATGAAACTGGTACAATAATTTTTTTGTCTTTTAATTTCTGCATTACTCCTGAAGCATCTTCAAAGATACTCAGTGAGCGAAGTTTATCCTGAGAGAGAGAGATTCTCTGACAATGTTGACCAAAATATTCCAATATTTGTGAAATTTTTTCAACACTGTCCATCTTTACACTATGACAAACATACTCAGCAATTCCCTTTCTGTGAAAGTAAAGGTTATCTAACACAAGCAAAGGATTTTCTAAAGTTGCTGTTAGATTTAGACCAGGACATGGTAATCCCTTACATGGATGAGGAATAGGCAAGGAATTGAAAACAGATGGTGGATGATAGCGAGTGTCTAAAATTCTGTAGGCATTTTTTGCTGCAGTGAGATATTCAGTATTGTTATATTTACAGGGGTACAATGCCCAGTCCCCAAGAGCCATCTCAATATATTTCCTACCTTTCATCCAGTTAATTTCATTGGTTGTTTTATCATCACAGTTACAGTAATTTTTTTTAATGTAATTTTCAAGGAATCCCCAGAGATTCATCAACCAATTTTTATTTGGCCTTGATTTGATAGGCATGGGCAAAATTTCATCACTTGCAAATTTTTGACCTAATTCTGTATGCAGTCTATCAGCCAGATCCTCTACTGTAAAGTCCTTCAGAACACTAAGAGCTATACAGTTTTTAAGAGTATTTTCAAGTAAGGTTACCATGCATTTATGTAAAAATTCATTTCCTGATTTTGGAAGCAGAGAACAGTATGATGAAATGAATACTGGTTTATTTGAATCGAAACACCTAAGAATGTTGTCATTAGTAAGCAATAGTGGAAGCCTTTCTAATTCAACTGAGTCTTGAGATGTTGCAATATACTTGAAAATATCATGCACATTGTTTGGACAAAGAAATGGTGTCTCTGTGATGCTCTTCATTATCATTGGGTTACAGTTGTCTGGGTAATCTTTGTCCCAAGATTGAAGAAACTTAAGAGCAATATCTGGTGTGAGAGATTGACATTCAATTCCTAGGGAACAGAAATTATCATGCATAAATTGGCTGCCCAATTTCATCCCAAGCCTCTTTAATGTATTTACAATATTATTTTCACTAGTGTGGACACTAGTGAAGTATATTGGAAATTTATTTCCAGTCTTTATATATGCATGCCACTGTAGTTCTCCATATTGTTGATCCAACACATTTTGTTTCGATTCAGTAGAAAATAATTGTGATTATCTTTATATGGAATGAAAACATCAAAAAAAGTGAAGCTGTTGATTAATGATGTATTCATAAAACGATTTCATAAAACTTTTCCATGTAGATGAATTTAATTTTTTTGCATCAGGGTAAGTGTTTTGGCATAAATTCATTTTACAAGTAGTATATTGATTTAGTGTCATTTTAGTTTTGCTTCCTGGGAAAATTAATTTCCTGTAGTAATCAACTGCATAAACAGCAGCTGGGAGCAAGTACCTCCTTCATCAACCAAGCATTCCACGTGGCTTTACAATCCTTTAGTCCAGTCCACAAATCCCTTCGGGAAGAATTTAAAGTAAAATGCCCATTAACACTAAATGGTAATCCTGATTGCACTGGCAAAGGAAGATAACAAGAAGTAGTAAATAAATCTTGACTATATTCTTGATTGGTTTTCAGAAGAACAGCCGCTCCTGCATTAGGAAGCAAGTTGAGCTGCTTATGGGAAAAAGCATCTTTCACTATTTCTGGCACAGTGTCTTTCTTTTCTGCCCCAAGTTGTTGAACAATATACCACAAGTACTCAGCCTTTTTTGAGTCTGCAATTTTCATTATATAGGATGCTCTCACCATATCTATATTAAAGACAGAATTACACTTTTGATTAATAAGATTTCTATTTCCTATCATATTTTGTAGCACTGAAACCTCATTTTGTTGTTGGATGAAAGATTCAACTGAGTACTCAGTAAGGCACTCCCCACTGTCACAAATATTCATGATGGAAATTTTACGAACATTTCTTAAAAAGAGTAGACACTTTCCCATCTCACGTTGGAACTCTTTCAAGTTTTCTTCAAGTTTTGAAACTGGGAACAGTTCTGAAATATTAGATTCTTTAACAGTTCGTAGTGGGAGCCTAAAAACTGTGCCTTCTTGCTGTAGAAAAATATTTTCTAAATATCCTTGAAAAGAATCTGGGTAGTCTTTCCGCAAGTCATTCAGATTAATGAACTGCACCCCAGGTTTTTCAGGAGTAGCCATAGGATCATACCAGCAGTGAGGGTCAAACATACACAGTGTCTCTCCTTGTGGGACATCAGGTCCTCTTGTCAAGAATGATGGAGCATCAGTTATGTGATACACAGCATTAAAACCAATGCCATACTGTCCTGTACTGGCTGGGTCCTGATATTTGCTGCTATTACCCAAGTCTTGTATATTCCAAGATCTTTCTGTGAATCCTTTATTATTGTACACTGTTAAGGAAGGACCCTGTAGTGGTGCCCATTTCTTGTCAAACAGCTTTTTATTAGAAAGATTTCTCAAGTCCTTAATGAAAGCTACTTCTGTTGCTCCTGCATCATCAGCATTCTGAAGCAGTTCTTTCATAATTCCACTATCACATGGATAGTCTCTTAGGATGTTTTTAAGTCTGGTAGTTAATGGTTCATTCTGGCCAAAATGTATTCTGTTTGAAGAGTTCTCAAGATATTTTCTGGTTTTGGTTTTAATTCCCAACAGAGATGTCATTTCCAGTGATAAAGAAATGCTTTTATGCAGACAGTTAAATTCACCTGAGCTCAGATCAACTCCATCTTCACAACACAACTTGTCTATGGGACAAAGATAACCATCAACATCTGGAAGATGCAGCAGATGAAGAGGCAACTGACAGTCACCAGTTTGTTTAACATTAAACATTAATGTAAGAAGCTTAGAGACTTGTAAAATTTCTCTTTCATTTAATTTCTCCAACTTATATTTTTCTTTTTTTTGAACGAGAACCTGAAGTACAACATCTGCATGAAAGGTTAATTCAATGCCTAGTACTTTCATTAGATGCTGATACATGCCCAGCCCCTCTCCCTGCACTGAAAACAAGTCTGGCGAGCAGTCAATCTCTGTACACAGTGCAAAAAAAACTGGCTCCACGATGCCATGATTTGTAAGTAACACCTTTTCACTTCTTAGTCCCTTTAGGCATTCTGGAACAACTGAATTCAGAGGCTGAATCATATACTCAAAATATTGATATATTTTATGACACATCTCACTGATGTTGCTATTTACTGGTGATAGAGTAGCTAACATTTTGAGCTGTTGACACACATTTTCTATTGGCAGTTTGTGTTCATTCACAATAATGCCAAGCTTTTCTATTAATGAACTGGGTAGCCAGTCATTATTCTTGTCATGAAACCAAAGTAAAAAGTTGGTGCTGCCTACCAGATCTTTGAATTTTGCTAAACACATGTCAGTAGGTTTTGCAAATGCAACTGACTTTATCTTACTTTGAACATTCAACTTGCTATGTCTGGTACACGCTTGGGAACAATTCTTTTTCAATGTATCAGCTTTCCACTTTAGAGGCCACTGTTGTGGCTTGGGCATCACTGGTAAAAATAAGACATCTTTAACTCTTGCTGCAATATTGTCTTGTTCAACATCATTTTGCTTTCTTATATAATGCAAGATTTCAAAGGCTCTTTCAACAGCACAATTATGACAAGTCAATTCTGCAACAGTTTTTGCCCTGTCATTTACCATTTCTATGGGAATATGTGAGGAATTCATTCCCAAATCTAAAAGACTTCTATGATGGTTAGGGTTTTTAATAAACAAAGCCTCTGGAAATCTCTCATCAGCTTGAGTGAACATTTTTGCAACTGTACTCTCAGGATCTATTAGGTCACATGGAATTCTTAAATTTCCTGTTGGGGTTGAAGGAATGCAATAAATACTTTTAAGTTTTTTAAGACAGGGTTGTTTGGTATCAATGATATGCAATGTCAGCTTGTTTCTTTTCTCTGAAGTAACAAATTGCTTAGATATATTTGGAATGAAGAAATGTGAAAGAAAGCTGTCTTGAGTGATCATGTGTTCAGCTATATATGCAGATTTGAAACCAGAAAGAATGTATTTTGGCAACAGTACCATCTGCAACAAGTTTTTAGATTCCATTAAGTTTTCCATGAATTCAAAAGCTATTTTTCCAATCACATCATACTGGTAAAACGATTCTTCTAAAAATGTACATACACTGGAAGTGTACCACTCACCTCTGTTTCGAAAGACTTTTAGATCTTCACTGACAATGGTATCATAAAAATGCCTTGCAAGGCTCAATACAAGCCTATCATCTGAGTCACACTTAATAGGCCAAGTAAAGTAATATGAACATTTCTGACTAAGGCCTTGTATTTGCAAAGATGTTAAAAGGCTGCAATAAGCAGCATTTACAGCATCACTCATCAAAGTTTCATTCCAGTCTATACCTTTTCTTCGGTCATCCTCGGTCTGCGTCTTAAGACTTGTACGGTCGGAAGCTACTTCAAAACAGCCATTTACTTGTACTGGCAGAGGTGTAGTTACTGGCAATGGTAGAAAGCAATGCATATGACTCTCCTTGTAAAACCCATCAGGAAGTTCTGAAAGCTTAATGGGTTGCCAGCCGTCAGTTTCCTTCTTTAATGGCACTGCAACAGCACTCAGGGGAAGGGCTCTCCCTGCAAGAACTTCAGCAAATTTAAATGATGCTCCATTACCACAGTGCCATGATGTAAGCCAGTTGACAGTCCAGTTACCCTGATCAATGTGACATAATTTTCTACCTTCCTCTGAACACATTACATTTATTTCCAAAAAGGTCCTCTCTTCAAAATATTCTCCATTCCACTTAAAACTATTATTGAATAGGTTTGCAACACTCTCCATGTTAGTTTTAACTGTTCTCTGCTTGATGGCAGAATTTGAATGTGAGAATGTTATTTTTCTCAAACTTTCAAATAACAGAACTTTCTCTGTTGGTGATGATGCATTTTTATTCAAGTAAAAGACCTTAATTTCCTTGATATGCTGAGTAAATAGAAGCAGTTCCCCTATAATCTTGCTAAACATTTGAAGAAGTTCTATCATGTCTTTGTGCATGTAACTCACACTGCTGATCTTACTGCTGCTTGCTTGGGTTGGAGTTCGTAAAGGAAAGCGAAATAAAGTCCCATCAAATTTCAAGTTCCTTTGGATATTACAGCCAAAAACTTCATTAAATGGTTTAAATTGTCCATGAAGTTTTTGCAGCATAATTGAATTTCTTGTCATGGAAAAGTTGTACCTCACTCCAGGGGTTTGGTTATTGCTATCAAGGTAAGTCAGGTGTGGATCAAATATAATATAATTAGATCCACTGACAATACTAGGTACATCAGTGAGGTTATAAACTGAACAAAATCCTAGTCCAAATTTTCCAATTTTTAAGGACTGATGTTCCTTTGTGCCTCCTCCTAATTTTCGAAGATTTGAAAAATCATCCTCAGTGAACATGGCATCATTATAAGCCCACAATGCTGGCCCTTGAAATTCTTGCAATTTATTGTTTATAAGCCTTGTGTGTGCATCTTCATTGTGACGTTCATCATAAAGAAAGGAAATAGTGGTAGCGCAAGCATCATCTGCATTTTGTACTAACTCCTTAATTACTGCAACACCATCACGATACTGCCGGAGTAAGTTGTGGAGACGTGTAGTAAGTGGTTCATGTTGACCCCACTCCATGAATGCCTCTTCATCAGCTAATAAATGTTTGTTTAGAGGTGCTACACCCAAAGCTTTTGCTAGTTCAGATCCAACACTGCTATGAACCACTCTTACCCCGAGTTCTTCACTGTCCAGCCAGTCACAAGACTGTTCTGAATATGTACACTTCTCTACTTCAATTAACTCTAAACTTCCATCCCTGTTTTCCACCGGCAATAACAATTCAGATGGAGGAATATCCTGAAGGAAATTTATTAATTTATGAAGAACATGTATAACTATTCTCCTGTCACGATTAACATCTGCAGATTTTCCTGAACTATGGTGCTGTTGAATTTGTCTTAAAAGTGTTAAGAACAGTTCCTTTGACTGGGTTTCAAAACATCCTAGAGCACGAAAAAGACTGCTATAATTACGTAATTCAAAAGGTAACTGATACATGTATGGTAATAATGACAAGTCTCCCTCCTGTGGTAAGATGTACACTTGTTCTGGGTCTTTGAAACCTACTTCAGTAAACACACATGGTGTTGCTGACAATGAGAGCAAATGGAAGCATCTGAAGTATTAATATACTCTGAAAGTTGTTTGTAAGTTTCCTTTATTATTTCAAAATATCCTGCTTCTGTATTATTATAACAATTCATGATATTTTGTAAATGATCAATATATTTTTGAATACTGGGTTCCTGATTCCAGCCAAAGATGTTTGCAACATTATGAATAAGAGAGTAATGTATGAGGGGCACAACTGAGCCCAGAGTATTCTTGAAGTGACTGTAACTCTTCATTTCTTGAGGTTTATATGGCTCTGCAAATGTTGCCCAAATTAAGCTGTTAGGATAACCAACTGGTTTAGATGTTTCACCATAAAGAAACTTTACATTTCTTACATCATTGCATATCTGGTGGCAATCAGATCGGCAGTTTGCAGCTCTAAGCCAACCTGCTACCTTGCTTACTCTGTCATTTTTAGTTAAAGATTTGTATGTAAATTATGGATGATCTCAACAAATTCATTTATAGGCATATTCTGTACTCTTCTCATCCCCAAAGTTCGTAAAAGTGGGTAGTATTTCTTAAAGCTGGTTTGGGGGTTTAGGTCTTCTGAAATTAATGCATCATTGTCAACATCTTCAGGATCATAAAGTTGTCTAGGAATAAAAAGTTGTCCACTTTGGTTTGGAACAAATCTCACTAATTTCAGCTGGTTCTGAATCATATGACTACTCAATAGGAATCTGTCTTCTAGAACATAAGACACAAGTTTTATTGTATCACTGTCTGAATATGTGCTCTCTAGGGCAAGTAGGAACATAACTTCCTTTGAAAATTCAGTGGCACCCAAATTTTTGGCAAGCTGTCTTTGATTCTCAGTGGATGGCACTATTAAGGTTTCAGGATAACATACAGGAAAGTTAATAATCTTTGGAAATATTTTGTCACAATTATTAATACATACATCAGTCACATAATTATATCTATCAGTTGCTTTGAAAATATGAAGTTCTTTATAAAGCTCCTTAATCTGTGGCTGAAGATTGTGTATTTCAGTAACATTAAGAAGAGCCTCAGCCTGTTTATCGCTTCTAGAATTATTAAACATCCTGGCAAGATCATGACTGTTATGCACTGTCAACACCTTAAGCAAAGCCTGGGTAACACCTCGAGCATCTGAACTATTAAAATAGTTGTGTAACTGATGATGCCGGACAAATCCTGGAGGCCTTGGGATTACTTGCACTTTTAAAAATTCAAGAGCCTGTACAGCTGCTTGAGGTAGAGATGATGGTGTGTTTTGCACAATAATTGCAGTTGAAAGATCTATTAGCTTTGCAGAATCTAAAACATGACTGCTAGGTACAAGAGCTATATTCTTCACACTATGAAGGTGTAGATGTTCCACGACAGACCAAACTTTTGACAACCAACATTCTAACTGGTGCTGGGATAAAAATGATTGTTGGACAAACTGAGCACTCTGAGAGATAAGCACAGCACCATGTTGACTAGGAGAGAACAGCTTTAACTGAGTTGCACCTGTAACAGAAATGATACATTGTATGTTATTGCAAAGTTTATACAATTACAATACACATGCATGGGGTATTCCAAAAGGTTTAACAACATACACTATATGCTCAAGTGAGAATAATGTTTCATTTCTATGTATCACTGAAAATTATGTGAACAAAATTTATGCAAAAATGTGTGTATGTGCTGAAGGTTCATTATAAACATATGTATCAATTAAGCATAATAAAGAACCTTAAAAATCATGGTCTGGTATTCTTCAATTATATCAATCCAATGCTCTACTATTGTACTTCAAAGGATCAAAAGAAGCACTGAAACCAAGGAATTTTTTTATCATAAAAAGGTTTCTGTGAGTGATAATGACAACTTGAAACACTTTTGAGGCACTAGTCATTATAATCAAAATTCTCAATAAATGAATTTAATAATATGGAGTGCTGAGCCTCCAACCTGCAGTCTGATGGTCCTCAGGTTAACTCTTTCAGGGTCGAGAGGCCCTCTCCCAAACTCGTTCTCAAGGTAAAAAAAATTTGGGGGAAAAAAAAAACTTTTTTTCTTATGAAATAATAGAATCTTTTACCGATCATAATGACACCAAAGGTATGAAATTTGATGGAAAACTTAAGGAATTATGCTCTTACAAAGTTAATGGTCTCAACGATATTTACACCAGCAATTTCACCCACTTTGATCCCTATTTTCAGCCATTTCCAATGTTCCTGTCTACTAAAATCATAGTTATTTTACTATAACTCCAGTTGTTGTATCGATTGAGTACAAGAAACTGCCCATTTACTGCTTTCAACTACCCAATAAAGCAGTCAGAATTGGCAATTTGGCCAATTTCACACACACTGCAAAAGATGCCAATTTTAAAATAGGGTCCAGAATAAACAAGACAGACATTCCTGACACTAAAATAACATTTTATCTGTTCATTAGTCACATCTCCTGTCCCCTCTTACATTACTTTTGCTTTCCATTTTGAATTTTTCTCACACAAAAATGGATGATTTACTGTTATGTGTACCACTGCATCATTGTAAAAACAGTATAAATAATATCAGGGCACTTGTGAAAGAATATTAGACTGCCATTTGATGTGTATTGGATGTAAGGCATGATTTGTTTACTCTTGAACACTGGTAAAAATTTGAACATTTTCGCTATTATGAGTTCAATTTCAAAGTGCTTATCATCTTGAAACCAATCGCAACCATCTCTATATATCTTCCATTCTATCGAATGAGACAAAGAAAATGAGAATACAACCATAAATACCATACGAAAATACACAGCAAATTTGCTGTTTTAAGCCAAAACACTGTTGGAGTTTTTTTTTTTTTCATTTTGCACTGTATGCTGCAGGATTTCTTTTATACTGTGCACACTGACCATGCAGACCCATTCTTTCATGTGTAGGTCTACCAGCTTTCTCTCCCTAGATTTGAAGGTGCTACAATTTACGCGTATTAGTACGACACCAACCCTGAAAGGGTTAATAAGGCCTTACAAAGTAAGAAAACTAGATCTGTTACTGTGTGCTTGTGGGGGGTGGGTGCTAGTTCCTCACCCCAAAATAAAAAAACAGCATTTCATTCACAGTTGTAGTTGGTACTAAGCTCATCAGGATAAAAGAACTTCATAGTTGGAGCACCATTTACGAGTCTCTGTGCACAGTGCAAGACTAATGGTAATCTGTGAGCTACTAGAATCTTGGAATGAGGTTCAGCATCACACTTATGTTAGGCACAGTATGAATATACATAGCCTTACCATAATCTCTTTCACTCAAATGAGGATATTTTTAATATTTTGAAAAAAAAAAAAAACATACATTAAATATAAAGTAGGTAAATTTTCTTTAATGCAAATAAACAGGGGCGAAAATGTACCAATTTCTACAGAATGAAAAAGAACAAAAAGCATAAAGTATGGAATCACTTTGGATAACCATTCGTATTTTTCACAAGACTGAACCTTCTTTGGTAATACAGGGCCCCTACTTAAACAAGATGGGTCCTACACAGATGACAGCAAGGAAATGAGTGAGCTACTCAAGTCCCAATATGACTCAGTTTTTAGCAAGCCGCTAACCAGACTGAGAGTCAAAGATCAAAATGAATTTTTTTTGAGAGAGCCAGAGAATTTGGTTAACACAAGTCTATCTGATGTTATCCTGATGCCAAATGACTTCGAAAAGGCGATAAATGACACGCCCATGCACTCTGCCCCAGGGCCAGGCTCATGGAACTCCGTGTTCATCAAGAACTGCAAGAAGCCCGTATCACGAGCTTTTACCATCCTTTGGAGAGGGAGCATGGACACGGGGGTCGTCCCACAGTTACTAAAAACAACAGACATAGCCCCACTCCACAAAGGGGGCAGTAAAGCAATAGCAAAGAACTACAGACCGATAGTACTAACATCCCATATCATAAAAATCTTTGAAAGGGTCCTAAGAAGCAAGATGCCACCCATCTAGAAACCCATCAATTACACAACCCAGGGCAACATGGGTTTAGAGCAGGTCGCTCCTGTCTGTCTCAACTATTGGATCACTACGACAAAGTCCTAGATGCACTAGAAAACAAAAAGAATGCAGATGTAATATATACAGACTTTGCAAAAGCCTTAGATAAGTGTGACCATGGCATAATAGAAGTTGGTAGATGGATCTATAATTTCCTCACAAACAGAACACAAAGAGTAGTAGTCAACAGAGTAAAGTCCGAGGCGGCTACGGTGAAAAGCTCTGCTCCACAAGGCACAGTACTCACTCCCATCTTGTTTCTCATCCTCATATCTGACATAGACAAGGATGTCAGCCACAGCACCGTGTCTTCCTTCGCAGATGACACCCGAATCTGCATGACAGTGTCTTCCAATGCAGACACTGCAAGGCTCCAGGCGGACATCAACCAAATGGGCTACAGAAAACAATATGAAGCTCAATGATGAGAAATTTCAATTACTCCGATATGGTGATATGGTAAACACGAGGAAATTAAAACTTCATCAGAGTACAAAACAAATTCCGGCCATAAAATAAGCGAAAAACCAACGTCAAAGACCTGGGAGTGATCATGAAAAACCAACGTGAAAGACCTGGGAGTGATCATGTTGGAGGATCTCACCTTCAAGGACCATAACATTGTATCAATCGCAGCTGCTAGAAAAATGACAGGATGGATAATGAGAACTTTCAAAACTAGGGATGCCAAGTCCATGATGACACTCTTCAGGTTGCTTGTTCTATCTAGGCTGGAATATTGCTGCACACTAACAGCACCTTTCAAGGCAGGTGAAATTGCTGACCTAGAAAATGTAAAAAGAACCTTTACAGTGCGTATAATGGAGATAAAACACCTCAATTACTGGTAGCGCTTGAAGTTCATGAACCTGTATTCTCTGGAACACAGGCGGGAGAGATACATGATTATGTACAGTTGGAAAATCCTAGAGGGACTAGTACCGAACTTGCACACGAAAATCACTCACAATGAAAGCAAAAGACTTAGCAGACAATGCAACATCCTCCAAATGAAAAGCAGGGGTATCACTAGCACGTTAAGAGATAATACAATGAGTGTCAGGGGCCCAAGACTGTTCAGCTGCCTCCCAGCATACATAAGGAGGATTACCAATAAACCACTGGCAGTCTTCAAGCAGGCATTGGACAAGCACATGAAGTTGGTACCTGACCAGCCGGGCTGTGGCTCGTACGTTGGATTGCATGCAGCCAGCAGTAGCAGCCTGGTTGATCAGGCTCTGAGCCACCAGGAGGCCTGGTCACAGACCAGGCCACAGGGGCTTTGACCCCCAAAACTCTCTCCAGGTAAACAGGTCGGCCATCACTAATCAGGCAATCAGTTATCCGGTTCCATCAGTAATCCGGCACTAATATCGGCTAGCATAATTTAAAATTTCATCATTATACTGGCTCAGAAATTGTGCAGATAATTGTAAATCCACAGCAGCAAGCCAGTGGAAGAGAAAATTGTGATGAAAATGAGGAAGATGTAGCAGTCTCTCTATTGATAAGTTAATTAAGTGTATTCTAACCTAACCACTCTGTAATCCGGCAACCTCACTAATCCGGCACACTACAGGTCATAAAGATGCCAGATAAGTGATGGACGACCTGTAGTTTGCTATTTTATATTTTCTCATCAAACTGCAAGTTAAATCAATGTTTACAGTACATGCTAGGATGTTTTGTGCATGGGAAAAAACTGCTTGGGACTTGGGGACAAGATTTTCACACCTGGAATTTACCTGGAGAGAGTTCCATGGGCCATGGTGGTGGATCAAGGCCTGATCAACCAGGCTGTTACTGCTGACTGCATGCAATCCAACATACAAACCAGAGCCCAGCTGGTCAGGTACGAACTTTAGGTGCTTGTCCAGTGCCTGCTTGAAGACAGTGAGGGGTCTATTGGTAATCCCCCTTATGTATGCTGGGAGGTAGTTGAACAGTCTTGGGCCCCTGACAATTATTGTGTTGTATCTTAACATGCTAGCGACACCCCTGCTTTTCATTGGGGGATGTTGCATCGTCTGCCGAGTTTTTTGCTTTCATAGGGAGTGATTTTCATGTGCAAGTTTGGTACTAGTCCCTCTAGGATTTTCCAGGTGTATATAATTACATATCTCTCCCGCCTGCATTCCAGGGAGTACAGGTTCAGGAACTTCAAGCGCTCCCAGTAATTGAGGTGTTTTATGTCAGTTATGTGTGCCATGAAGGTTCTCTGTACATTTTCTAGATCAGCAATTTCACCTGCCGTCAAAGGTGCTGTTAGTGTGCAGCAATATTCCAGCCTAGATAGAAAAAGTGACCTGAAGAGTGTCATCATGGGCTTGGCATCCCTAGTTTTGAAGATTATCATTATCCATCCTGTCATTTTTCTAGCAGATGCGATTGTTACAATGTTATGGTCCTTGAAGGTGAGATCCTCCGACATGATCACTCCCAGGTCTTTGACGTTGGTTTTTCGCTCTAT